CCCCCGCTCGGAGGGAAGGTAAGAGAGACCCGTCACCCCCGGGCTGCAGGGGGAGGTTTGGCCCCAGGCTGCTCCCAGCGGAGCTGGCTGCGATTCCCGCCCTGGGCCCGGGAAAGCTGCCGCCAGCTCCCGGTGTGTGCGGGGCGGGGGCAGGATCACGTTACCACCCATCCGCCATTGTCCCCATCTGCTGCTTTGTTTCCCTGCCCCTGGCCGCGCTGCTGCGGACGGAGGCTGCAGTTCAGGGAGATCTGAGGGGGGCAGAAGGTGGGGCGGGGCCAAAATGAATGCAGTGTGGGGGTCCCCAACTCAGGGCTTGCGAAGGAGCGGATCTCAGGGACACAATCAGGGCAGCACAGGTGCTGGATCTAGGGTGGTGGGACCCTGCCGCACCCCCTGGCTTGAAGGGTTTTCCATCCTATCCAGGGTTTACAGTTTGGTTCAATGGCTCTCAGTGCTCTCCACTGTATGGATTGTTTCAACCCCCCTGCCTGGGACTAGGAGCCAGGGATAAGAATGGGGTACAGCCAGTGGGGGGTGAATCTAGCACTGGGGGAGACAAGTTCCAGCCCCTGAGCACCCCCAATGTCCCCCCACCTGTGGAGCACATGGCCCCAGCCTCCTCAGCCCCAGGGCCCAGGAAGGGCGCACGGCCCCAGCCTGAACCCCGGGGGCAGCCTAAGGAGAAGCCTGACCCGCTCCTAACAGGGGCTGTGCACCCCACCTCCGCAGTCAGCTGTGACTCTCAGCCAGCTTGGAAAACAGACGGGTTTATTGGTTGCTGGGAACACAGCATAGAACAGAGCTTGTTAGCACAGAAATCAGGAGCTTTCAGCAAAGTCCATCTGGGGGGGAATCCATAGTCCGAAGTCCTGGACTCTCCCCGCTGAGTCCCAAACCAGGAGACTGACCCGCTTCCAGCCCCCCATCCCCAGTGACGCCCCGCTGCCCCTGCTCCGTGCTTTCCCTCTTTCCCAGGAAAAGATGTCATCTGGCCTCCCCCTCTCTCTTTGTTCTCCAACACCTTCGGCTGGCTCCTTGCAGAGGATGGGCTCCGGCCATCACTTGTCAGGATACAGAATTTTGACCGTTCTCTATGGCAGGGGTGGGCAAACTTTTTGGTCTGAGGGCCACATCGGGGATCAAAATTGTATGGAGGGCCAGGTAGGCAAAGTTGTGCTACCCCAAACAGTCTGGCCCTGCCGCCTATCCAACCACTTCCCGCCCCGCCCTCAGAATCCCCGACCCATCCAAACCCCCTGCTCCTTGTCCGCTGATTGCCCCCCTCAGAATTCCTAACCCATCCAACCCCCCGCTCCTTGTCCCCTGACTACACCCTCCAGAGACCCCCCTGCCCCTAACGACCCCCCAAGACCCCACTCCCTATCTAAGCCCCCCTGCTACTTGTCCCCGACCGCCCTCTCCAGAGACCCCCCCCGCCCCTAACTATCCCCGAAGATGCCACCTATCCAACCCCCCTGCTCCCTGTCCCCTGACTTCCCCGACCCCTATCCACACCCCCTGCTCCCTGACAGAGGCCCAGGATTCCCACGCCCCATCAAACCCCCCTATTCCCCATCCCCTGATCACCAACCCAGAACCTCCACCCCATACAACCACCCCCTGATTCCTGTCCCCTGACTGCCCCCTGGGACTCCCTGCCCCTTACCCAACCTCCTGGCTCTGGCCCGGCCCCCTTACTATGCTGCTCAGAGCAGCTTCTGGGGCCAGACTGACTACCGTGCAGCCCCTCCCCCCAGAGCGCTGTCGGTTTGGCTGCAGAGGGAAAGCAGGGGAGTGGCCGGGGAAGCCTCCCCCGAGAGCTCAGGGGTCGGATAGGACTGGCCATGGGCCGTAGTTTGCCCACCCCACCTCTATACCCAGGCAGCCACTCTGCAGTCACAACTGCCCTCTAGATGTCTCCGCAGTGATCACACATCTGTATCCCACCAGTTCAATACTTGAGTAACACATGGGGAAACTGAGGCACACACACAGTATTCAGAGAAAATATTAAGAACATTCCTGCTTCATCACACCCCTCTGAGACCAGCCCAAGGGCACTTTCTCCAGTTGCTGGAACCACTCTAACCATACCAGCCCCTGAGCCTTAGCCTGCAGGTGATGGAGAGACCTGGTGAAAGGACTGGAGCCGGGCAGGGAAACTCTGCACAAAGGGCCCCTTTCAGGGACCAGCTGGTGAGTTTGGCCTAGAAGGGGAGGGGCTCCCTGTGTCTGTGAATCCCAGAGCTGCTGCCCTCAGTGACACAGCTAGGTTCAACCCCCATTACCAGTGTCAGTGGCTGAGCTGCCTAATGAGAGCAAAGTCCCACGACAATGGGGCAGTCGCCCCAAGGCGAGGGAAGAAGATAAAAGGGGAGAGCGGAGAGATTTGAAGGGCAGCAGGAGCAAGAATTGAGGAGGGAGGTTCCCAGCTCCCAGCCCTGCCCAGATCCATTCCCTGCACCCCCGGGGCAGTCAGCTCTCCTGGGAACAAGGGGAGGAGCTGAGAGAGGAAAAGCCAGTTGCTCATTCTGCTGAGCACCGCACTACTGAGGGAGACGGGGGAGAGCTAGAGGGGTTACAATACACTGTGGGGCAGTGCCCTAAAGTGACTCCTTTGTTTCTGCTCTTTTTCCAGCGTTTGGCTCAGAGATGCTGTTCTGGGGAGGTTTAGCAGGGACTTGCTGGGGTTAGTTCTAATGGGGGATTAGGGGCCTGGCCCAGTACCACAGCTAGGGGAGGATCAGGGGGAACGGCTGCTCCCACTGAGCACATTCTCCCAAAGTGGCACGATAGACGCAGATTCCGTGGGTGCTTCTTGTCTGGAGCATCCACGGGGAAAAATTGGTGGGTGCTGAGCACCCACCGGCAGCTCCCGGTCCCCGCCCCACCACCCAGCCCACCTCACCTCCACCTCCACTCCAGCTCCTTCCCTGACCACGCCGCCCCGTTCTGCTTCTCCCCCTGGCTCCCCAGCGCTTGCACCGTGAAATAGCTGATTTTTGCGGCAAGCCAGGGAGGGAGGAGGGGGAACGTGGCATGCTGGGAAAGAGGCGGGGCCAGGGTGGGTATTTGGGGAGGGATCCAATAGGGGCAGGGAGGGGGAAGAGTCGGGACGGGGCAGGGGGCGGGGATTTGGGGAGGAGTCCAATGGGGCGGGAAGGGGTGGGGCTGGGTGGGGGGCGCAAGCTCCCACCGGCGCCAAGGAAACTTGGCACGTGTGGCCGAGCGACAAAATAATGCAGGGGGGGAAAAGCACCGACAAAAGAACGCCGACGAAAGAGCGCATTCCGATACAGGTACCTCCAAATAATTTTTGAGCGGTCTCATTTTCTTCTGGACAAGCTTCCATTACATAATCAAATGTGGTAGAAACGTCATCTGTACACTTGTAACACTTACCACTACAGCATTAGTTGGTCTTCTAACATGTGAATCCCTGTCAAGAGGCCCACATTTTTTTAAACATTTTGTCTTCGCT